ATAGGGAAATTTATCGGTTATGGTTTTAAATACAAACTCAAATGTCATTGGAGCTGCGTTTAAAATGCGATTCAGTACATCGTGAACTGGTTGCAGTTTAATTCTGCTACTTTCTGAGGGACATCCCTTGACACAGTCGAATTCGTCCGATTTATCAGGAATCCAGTGTTCAATAAGTTTAGATACTCCTATTGGAAAATATTGGTTGTGGGTCATCAATAAGTCCATATAAAATTCAATATAAGCTTCGATTATCTCAGAACTTCTTTTCTTCCAGTTCAAAGATAACAAAGCCTTGACTGTTTGAAAAAAAACTGGAGTTAAGTGTTGAACTACTCCTTTGGCATCTTTTAGGATTGACAAGACCTCGTCATCCTAAAGTAATAAGAAGTCGTTCTATATTAATATACAAAAATTAAGCCTAACATACATACCTTAAGTTTTGCTTCACAGAGAAAGATTGTGAACTCCTTAATAAGCTGGAACTTTTTTTCTTCTAGGGCCACGCGTATAGATTCTGCCAGGCCTCTGTTTTTTGGATCAGAACGTACATTGTGGATGGCAAGGCAATTAGAAAACAAATTGAATGGTATACCCCTCCTTGACGTGTGTATCGACATAGTGACATGCACGGACAACAAGATAGCATATGTATTTCTCAATGATGTGATTTTAAAACAGCTTTTTCTATCGGCAATTCACAGAAGATTCAAATTGCAAATGTTCTTAGTTACAACTATTAAAAAACGTTTCTGGGCGGGCGCGTTCCTCGGACTCGTAGTAATACCCTATTCCCATGTAGATACTTTGGCAGTTGCAAACAAGTTTTCGTATCTTATTTAATGTCCGTCAAATTAGCGTCGGTGACTTAGCGGCGCTGGCGGAACGGTGGAGTCTGGAACATGGGGCCAATTTTTATTTTTTGTTTTTCTCGGCTTTTTGGGGCCGAATCGAAAAATATTAAATGCAAAATTGTTTAGAATAAAAATATCTATCGATCTAGATAGTTTGCAAACATATCCGACATCTAGAAATTTATTAAAAATCTATTTAAAAAATCGGGTCCCCACAATTTCGTTTATTGCTCCCCTCACAAAGGTTGTACCAATATGCACGGTAAACCTGGTTATTGGGCGTTAATTCAAGTTTCTTGTCAGAAAGTATCATTGAGCTAAAGCCGTCAGTTTTTGAGAAAATAGCTTAACAGTGAAGGCACCTCGGATTTTCGCCATACAAAAAAGGGGGGCAAATAGTAAATTGCACAGGGCTCCACTCTGAGACGTTGTACCAACATGCACGGTATATTGGCAGATTGGGGATCGCCTAAAGCAAGTTCAGTGCAAAAATCATAACGATAAAGCCGTCAGTATTTGAGAAAATCGCTTTACAGTGGGGGAAGATAAATAATTAAAAGAAGTGGTGCCAGATTAAAATTTGAACCAGTAAGTTCCAAGACATGAACCACTATGTAAAAAATGTATTCAGGACACTACCATATGGCAAAAAATTATGTTTCGACGCTACCTCTATTTTCAATTAATTTGACTTTCACAGACGTTGTACCAACATGCACGGTACCACGTTGGAAAGGAAATTCATTTTACTAATTAACAAATGTGGTTCGGCAAACGAAAAGCCGTCAGTTTTTGAGAAAAACGCATAGTGCGTTGTGGGCATCTCATTTGTAACAAAATTGTTCACCCTGTTCTAAGCTCCCAAGACACTAACCATATGGGAAAAAAATAATGTTTCGACGCTATCTCTATTTTCAATTAATTTGACTTTCACAGACGTTGTACCAACATGCACGGTACCACGTTGGAAAGGAAATTCATTTTACTAATTAACAAATGTGGTTCGGCAAACGAAAAGCCGTCTGTTTTTGAGAAAACGCATAGTGCGTTGTGGGCATCTCATTTTTACCAAAATTTTAGCTAGGAACACATTAACCTTATATCGATACCCTATATCGATACTTCGATAAAAACGAATGCACAAGGCCTGGAGAAGAAATAACTAATATATTTTACTAAAACTCTTAAAATGGGAATTTCTAATAAACTACTGACCCGATTTTAATAAATAATACATCAAATTGATCAGGTGTGCGAGTATAATCGAAGGTATGTCTTTATTTCGTTGAAAATATTATTAAACATAATTTCGTTTTTATGTATTATGGCGCCAAGACGTTGCCAGAGCGCAAGGGCAGCTCCTTCAAATGCACGAGGGCTGGAGAAGAAATAATTAATATATTTTACTGAAACTCTTAAAATGTGAATTTCTAGTAGAATAGTAAACTACTATTTCAATAAATAATATATCAAATTGATCAGGCATGTCTTTAATTCATTAAAAATATTCTTTAACACAAGTCCGTTTTTATCGGACTTTTTTTTTATTTTACTAGTGTATTTTATAAAAAAAAAAATTTTAATGAAAATCGGTGGGAAACAGCATTGTGTAGCTGACCCCGTTTAAGGAACTCAGAATTTGTACAAAATACACGAACTTGTCATACCCTACAAAAAATAAAATTTTAAAAACTCGATATTTTCCTTAGTGTATTTTATAAAAAAATAATTGTTATGAAAATCGGTAGGAAAATCAGGAGGCGGCTAGCCAGGAGGCGGCCGTCGATAAGGCTGATGGCCAATAAATAAATATCAAGAAATAAAAACATCAAAAGTAAATGCGTCGAATTTTTATTTAAGGGAAATATCGAGGTTTTTTAATATTATATTTTGTAGGGTATGACAAATTCGTGTATTTTGTACAAATTCTGAGTTCCTTACACAATGCTGTTTCCCACCGATTTTCATTAAAAATTTTTTTTTATAAAATACACTAGTAAAATATAAAAAAAAGTCCGATAAAATCGGACTTGTGTTACAGAATATTATTAATGAATTAAAGACATGCCTGATCAATTTGATATATTATTTATTGAAATAGTAGTTTACTATTTTACTAGAAATTCACATTTTAAGAGTTTCAGTAAAATATATTAATTATTTCTTCTCCAGCCCTCGTGCATTTGAAGGAGCTGCCCTTGCGCTCTGGCAACGTCTTGGCGCCATAATACATAAAAACGAAATTATGTTTAATAATATTTTCAGCGAAATAAAGACATACCTTCGATAATACTCGCACACCTGATCAATTTGATGTATTATTTATTAAAATCGGGTCAGTAGTTTATTAGAAATTCCCATTTTAAGAGTTTTAGTAAAATATATTAATTATTTCTTCTCCAGGCCTCGTGCATTCGTTTTTATCGAAGTATCGATATAGGGTATCGATATAAGGTTAATGTGTTCCTAGCTAAAATTTTGGTAAAAATGAGATGCCCACAACGCACTATGCGTTTTTCTCAAAAACTGACGGCTTTTCGTTTGCCGAACCACATTTGTTAATTAGTAAAATGAATTTCCTTTCCAACGTGGTACCGTGCATGTTGGTACAACGTCTGTGAAAGTCAAATTAATTGAAAATAGAGATAGCGTCGAAACATTATTTTTTTCCCATATGGTTAGTGTCTTGGGAGCTTAGAACAGGGTGAACAATTTTGTTACAAATGAGATGCAAACCACGCATTATGCTTTTTTCTCAAAAACTGACGGCTTTTCGTTTGCCGAACCACATTTGTTAATTAGTAAAATGAATTTCCTTTCCAACGTGGTACCGTGCATGTTGGTACAACGTCTGTGAAAGTCAAATTAATTGAAAATAGAGATAGCGTCGAAACATTATTTTTTTCCCATATGGTTAGTGTCTTGGGAGCTTAGAACAGGGTGAACAATTTTGTTACAAATGAGATGCAAACCTCGCATTATGCTTTTTTCTCAAAAACTGACGGCTTTTCGTTTGCCGAACCACATTTGTTAATTAGTAAAATGAATTTCCTTTCCAACGTGGTACCGTGCATGTTGGTACAACGTCTGTGAAAGTCAAATTAATTGAAAATAGAGATAGCGTCGAAACATTATTTTTTTCCCATATGGTTAGTGTCTTGGGAGCTTAGAACAGGGTGAACAATTTTGTTACAAATGAGATGCCCACAACGCACTATGCGTTTTTCTCAAAAACTGACGGCTTTTCGTTTGCCGAACCACATTTGTTAATTAGTAAAATGAATTTCCTTTCCAACGTGGTACCGTGCATGTTGGTACAACGTCTGTGAAAGTCAAATTAATTGAAAATAGAGGTAGCGTCGAAACATAATTTTTTGCCATATGGTAGTGTCCTGAATACATTTTTTACATAGTGGTTCATGTCTTGGAACTTACTGGTTCAAATTTTAATCTGGCACCACTTCTTTTAATTATTTATCTTCCCCCACTGTAAAGCGATTTTCTCAAATACTTACGGCTTTATCGTTATGATTTTTGCACTGAACTTGCTTTAGGCGATCCCCAATCTGCCAATATACCGTGCATGTTGGTACAACGTCTCAGAGTGGAGCCCTGTGCAATTTACTATTTGCCCCCCTTTTTTGTATGGCGAAAATCCGAGGTGCCTTCACTGTTAAGCTATTTTCTCAAAAACTGACGGCTTTAGCTCAATGATACTTTCTGACAAGAAACTTGAATTAACGCCCAATAACCAGGTTTACCGTGCATATTGGTACAACCTTTGTGAGGGGAGCAATAAACGAAATTGTGGGGACCCGATTTTTTAAATAGATTTTTAATAAATTTCTAGATGTCGGATATGTTTGCAAACTATCTAGATCGATAGATATTTTTATTCTAAACAATTTTGCATTTAATATTTTTCGATTCGGCCCCAAAAAGCCGAGAAAAACAAAAAATAAAAATTGGCCCCATGTTCCAGACTCCACCGTTCCGCCAGCGCCGCTAAGTCACCGACGCTAATTTGACGGACATTAAATAAGATACGAAAACTTGTTTGCAACTGCCAAAGTATCTACATGGGAATAGGGTATTACTACGAGTCCGAGGAACGCGCCCGCCCAGAAACGTTTTTTAATAGTTGTAACTAAGAACATTTGCAATTTGAATCTTCTGTGAATTGCCGATAGAAAAAGCTGTTTTAAAATCACATCATTGAGAAATACATATGCTATCTTGTTGTCCGTGCATGTCACTATGTCGATACACACGTCAAGGAGGGGTATACCATTCAATTTGTTTTCTAATTGCCTTGCCATCCACAATGTACGTTCTGATCCAAAAAACAGAGGCCTGGCAGAATCTATACGCGTGGCCCTAGAAGAAAAAAAGTTCCAGCTTATTAAGGAGTTCACAATCTTTCTCTGTGAAGCAAAACTTAAGGTATGTATGTTAGGCTTAATTTTTGTATATTAATATAGAACGACTTCTTATTACTTTAGGATGACGAGGTCTTGTCAATCCTAAAAGATGCCAAAGGAGTAGTTCAACACTTAACTCCAGTTTTTTTTCAAACAGTCAAGGCTTTGTTATCTTTGAACTGGAAGAAAAGAAGTTCTGAGATAATCGAAGCTTATATTGAATTTTATATGGACTTATTGATGACCCACAACCAATATTTTCCAATAGGAGTATCTAAACTTATTGAACACTGGATTCCTGATAAATCGGACGAATTCGACTGTGTCAAGGGATGTCCCTCAGAAAGTAGCAGAATTAAACTGCAACCAGTTCACGATGTACTGAATCGCATTTTAAACGCAGCTCCAATGACATTTGAGTTTGTATTTAAAACCATAACCGATAAATTTCCCTATTATAAAAAGCCAGCTTATGTGACGGCAGGGTATGTCTTTAACGTGCTCTGGTTAATCGAATACAAGCCTATATTTGAAGAACCAATGTTGCAGCTTGTTTTGAAGAGGTAACTATTTTACTAAATTATTTGGTTATACCAATGACTTATTTACCAAAATCAGGTAGAAAGAAATAAGGTATATCGAGGTTGCTGCACACATCACTAGGGGTGGATTTCGGGCACAATTTTTGTACGGAAAGTAGTTGATTTGGCTTTATTTGGTCAATATAAGTTCCACCCTATTTTTGTAGTACCGCTGTATATATATAAATTTTTAATCTAGATCAGAATCACCTGCTGTGCAGATTTTACAGTCCCCACATCAACCGAAAAAGTAACTTGGCAACCAACCAGTTTCCGTTGACTAGGAAAAATGAAATATTGGGAAAATGCTGAAAAACGGGTAGAGAACAGGATAAAAACTTTTTAAACTTTTTACAGAATATAAAAGTAATTTATATTTATGTTTATATTTTTTTTTTAATTAAAATTTGGTTAAACCTGATTTATGTGTTATGTGTATAAAAGTAAAAATGGCGATTAAATCGAAATAGTTTATACCCAAAAGAGTTTAGCGGTGTACACTAATTCGGGAATACGTTAGGTGCGATTAGATAGATAAGAGAATTGAGTAGTCTTCCTTCCGTTCTCCCGGAATCGTGTCCACTACAAGGCATCCGAAGTCGATAGAGATCCGACAATTGCCTATAACTGTGTTATTTTTAATTTAAATTTAAGAAAACTAGAAATTATGAACTTTAAATCATATAAAAGGGAAAAAAATCAAGGAATAACTCTATATTCGAGTGTCTTGACTATAAAATACCTTTTAAAAAGTTAAAGGGAGCGCAAGATGGATATATGCAAGCAGCAAACTGCCTGTTTGCTAGATTACAGGGCGACACCAGCGAATTCATTATTTGGTCATAACTTCATAATAAATGCACCCATTTGAACAATTTTTAGATATGAATATAGGAATAAATAACCAAAGTCAAATTCCATTTACACATATAAAAAAAGGTTTTAAAAAATTAGGCGTCGGACAGATTTAAGCGTTTTGGGGGCTTGTGAGCGAAGCAAACTTTTAAAAACTGTTAAACTGTCAAACTGTTAAAATTTGTATTTGGGCATCAAAACTGAAAGCCACAACTTGTGGGCGGCTTGAGGGCGTTAGAGTGTTGGCGAAACCAATACATTTCAGTTGAAATTTTCATTCCAGCGTAAAGGCTTGTGGGTGGTGTTGGAAACTTATTGTTACCGAGATCACAGCGTTCAAACGGACAGACGGACGTGGCTAGATTGATTTCCTGGTGAAGAATATATATTCTTAATGGGCTCCGAAACGCTTTCTTCTACCTGTTACATTCCGGCGAATCAAGAACACCCTTTTACACAGAAATCTAGCTATATTTCCCCCCCTTAAAGACTTATCGATGCCATGTAATGTAAATATCGATGTTTTAACCTCTATCGAAGTTATATTTATTTTAAACTTGGTTAACAGAGTAACGGAAATCTCATAGTCGAGACATTCGACTGAGCGTTCCGTTTATTTTGTACCAATTTCCTACTAATTCCGTGGTCCCGTAGTTGCAGCATGCTAGAGTGATTGCAGTGATGCCGAACATAATACTTTTATTATTCGGAAGCCTGACTTTTTATTAATTTGTAAATCAATCATACGTTAAATAAATATGCTACACTCAAAAAAAAAAATGCAATCTATCGTTTATAAATATGTTGAATTCGAAAGAAATAAAAGGACAAACTTCCAGATAATATGAGCATTGTGTTTTTGCGGTATCTCTGCGAATTCCGGGAACTTTGTAGCAGGCCAATTGCTGTTACAGGTTGGTATTACATAGTCAGAAACACGACTATCGGTGTGCTACAGAAATCGTTTAGCCCTAAATTAGAAAGGGTGTCATATGTGCGGCAATAGAAATTTATCACAAACTCAACGCAGAGCAATGTCTTCGGCACCCTTGTATAACTTATATTTTTTCTTTTGGATTTAGAGCCAGGCGTGGCTGAAGTCTGAGTAAGCTTTTAGGGTCTGGCTTCCTTGTGCAATCTAATCAATTTCTTTATATTTTTATGGATAATCATCTAATTAAATTTGTCATTTTCTTTTTACGCTTAGATTCTTATTACTAGATGTTAACGCTCCAAGAGAAGAAATTGGCGAAGAAACAGATGACGAAGATGACAGTGAGGATGCAGATACAGTTTTTGAAATGGACGATGTATCCAGCTATACTAAGACTGAAAAAACTGTTAAACATCCTGTCGGCAAAACCTTGGATATTTGCCTATTCATGCTGTATAGGTTCATTGACCGGAGAACAGCGCTCGACTGCTAAACGCATATTTAATATATTACTACATATATTCGATGATACTCTGTTACCCAGCTACGATAGCCATCATGTGCAGTTTGTCCTATTTTATGTGACTAGTATTCGTGCTGCGTATGCTAAGGCTTTTCTTGATTTGCTTTGGCAGAAAGTACAAAATCGCCAAATTTCGAAGATTATTCGACATGCTGCGGTGGGATACATGACTAGCTTTTTATCTCGCGCCAGATTTTTGCGACTAAGGTAAGAAAAATTGTCATGCAATGTCCAAAAAGATTTAAGAACTTTAATTTTCTCAACTTTTTTTTCTAGCCTTGTACAAGGCTATTTAGAAAAATTGAGCATTTGGGCTCTTACCTAAATAGACGACACGAGTAAAAATATTCTGACTTGGTCATTTGGTGCACATTTGGTTTTCTACTCTGTCTGCGAAACAATTTTTTATTTGATTGCGTCTCGTGCGAGATATTTGACTGACAGTTCAACAGGTATGCTTTAAAATTTTTTGTCATAAGATTCTTAGACTGAGCCATATCACACATTACCTTAGGTTATGAATTGCTTTCTTCAGAAAACCATACTACATTTTCCTAATAATTTTGTTGCACCATATTTTTCCATACTTTTAGAACGATTTTGAAAATCTTACCTTTCTGCTTTCTGATTAATCAAAAACAAACACCACAAAACAAAGTAAAAGGTCAAGACGCATACATGTTTTATAATATCAAATTTGTTGACGAAAAATTACACAGGTCGACAAAACTCGGACTTTTTCTTTTGGATAATGTGAAAGGCTATTTATGCTAACAAAACATATTTTGGATCAATAAGCCCGTTTTAAAAATATATCGAAAATATGTTTTTGTGGACATATTTTGCTTTTATTCTCAAAAACTATCTCAGCGATCAATACTTTGAATGAAAGATTATAAGGCCTTGAAGAATCCTAGACTTTTTAAGCTTGCATCTTATTTGATTCGAATTTCAACGCATTAAAAAAAAATATAAAACAAGAATTGTGTTAGAAAAAACCATTCTATTTCTTAAAAATCACTGTGAAAGGCAGTCCACGTAGTGACGAAGCGCACTAGAAGAGTGTGCCAAAGTGAATAAAGAATAAACATCTACTGTGATGGTCCGATCGTAACGAGTCACACCAATCGAATGGTATTGCAAACACTAAAAGGATTGCATACCAAAAACAAGGGAGAACGCTTAGATACCCGTTACTCAGCTTCCTTTTGTGAACAATTGAAAGCATTTTTGGTAATTTATTTTGTTTGAAAAAATTTGAATCGAGCTGAAAAGGCTACTTGGCCTTAACAAAAACTGGGTGAGTGTATTTTTGAGTCCTATTTTTAACACCACCAAAGAGATGTCGGAGGAGGTTGATTCGATGAGCGAGGGCGAGATGCGCGCCAATGGGAAGCGCAGCCAAGCTAAGGAGCGAGAAAACCCGAAAGCTAAGTTGATTGCGCTTGACGCGGAATCGTGGGCCAATATTGTTGACACGGACAAGGACTGGGACTTGCCAGAAGAGGGTCGCCCCTCATCATCTGCATCGTCCGCGAAGGGGGCTAAGGCGAAGAATGTTGCACCCGGAGAAAAGAAGCGGTCCAAAGCACGTTCTAGGGCGTCATCGAAGGAGGCATCGCGCGCTAAAGAGGTGCAGACTATCAAGACCGCCGCTGACGCTGCCGCTGCCGCAGCCGCTGCCCCCGCCGCTGACGCTGCCGCTGCTGCTCCCGCAGCCGCTGCCGCTGCCGTCGCCCCTGCAGCTGGCGCTGCCGGTGCCGCTGCCGCTGCTGCCGCTAAGGAAGGGACCTTCGTGGCACCTGCCAGACTGAAAAGATCCTTCTCGGACAGAGAGTGGGGGGGAAACGGTGCCGTTGCTGCCGAGATGGGCGACATCCGTGCGGATATCATGAGGATGTCCCACGTATCAAGCCCTACCGTGGGCATCAAGACGCAATTATTGGCAAACCGCTACGAGGAGATCGTCGGAGCCCTGCTGATCCGGATTGGAGTTCTTGAGGATCGCCTGAAGTGGCAGACACCGGTCGCCTCGGCCGCCTCATATGCAGCCACCGCTACTAGAGGCGCGCACCTAGTCGCCTCACCTGCTACCCCTGTTGCCCCCCTTGCCCCCGTAGCCGCACCTCGAAAGATCCGGAAGACATGGTCGGCGGTCGTCGCGTGCGACGACCCGGCCTTGTCAGGGAAGCAGATCGCGGAGAAGATCCGCAAGGAGGTAGCGCCCGCTCTGGGCGTACGAGTGCACGAGGTACGTGAGCTGAAGCGGGGCGGCGCGATCATTCGCACGCCTTCGCAGGCGGAGATGACGAAAGTCGTTGCCTCCGCAAAGTTCGCCGAGGTGGGCCTAAAGGTGTCGAGGAACACCGCTGCAAAGCCACGTGTGACGGTCCAGGATGTGGACACCTCCGTGGGACCCGACGAGTTTATGATGGAGCTCAAGGAGAAGAACTTCGAGGAGATGAGCCTGAAGGAGTTCCAGAAGGCGGTGGTCCTGGCGACTAAGCCCTGGTCAGCTGCTGACGGCGCCACAATTAATGTGACGTTGGAGGTCGATGACCAGGCGCTGGCCGTTCTCGAAGGCGGGAGGGTGTACGTCAAGTGGTTTTCTTACCGCTGTCGCTCAAATCGTTTCGCTTCTCTGCCTGTAGAGAGCAGCAATGAAAAGACCGTCGATAATGCCGAACTTAAAACAGCACCCAAGCCCCCTCCAATTTTTATCCCGGATGTAATAAACATTGGCGGATTTTTAAACGAAATGCGCACATTGGCGAATTCCGATACTTTCTCTTACAAGGCAACGGGAAGAGGCAACATCAGGCTGATGCCGAAGGACAGCACCACTTACCGAAAAATTGTTGCCCACCTGGACAACTGTCAAATAGCTTTCCGTACATTCCAACTTAAGGAAGAGCGAGCTTTCCGCATTGTTGTTAAGGGACTACACCACACTACACCAATTGAGGATGTCAAGGAAGCCTTTGTGAATCTCGGCCACAATGTGCGTGATGCTAAAAATGCAGTATCAAGGGTAACTAAAATGCCATTGTCGATGTTTTTCATTAACCTTGAACCAGCTCCAACAAACAAGAATGTCTTCGAGATCAACAGACTGTGCCACGCCGTCGTCTCCATCGAGGAACCAAAAAAGTTCGATGAGGTGGTACAATGCTTCCGCTGCCAAGCTTTCGGGCATACTAAGAGGTACTGCAAACTTGAATGTCTGTGTTAAATGCGGATTATCACACGACTCCCTGAATTGCATGAAGGCAAAGGAAGACCCACCTGTGTGCGGAAATTGTGGTGACGAACACACCGCCTCCTACCGCGGTTGTAGGATCTACATAGAAGCCAAGAAGCGCTTCAGCCCTAAGCCTAAGGCAGTAACTGCTTCTTCATCCAATCCTGCTCCACACGCAAATTTCCCAGCGAGCAGTGCCGCGAATCAGACAGGGAATCAGAAATTCAGTTACGCCAACGTTGCTAGGGCTGGAGCGGCTGAAAACCTCAAAAATAATGGCCAGTCCCCCCTTGATGCCTTGGAGGAGAAAATGATGCGCAGAATGGAATCAATGATGAACTCCATGTTCAATCAGTTCCAAAACTTAGTGATGACAATGCTCTCCAATCAGAACAATCTTTAATGTCCATAAACACCCAACTTATAATATGGAATGCGAACGGCTTGGCTAGGAGCAAGCCTGAGGTCGAACATTATATAAAGACTAACCAAGTAGACATCTTACTCGTGTCCGAGACACACTTCACCACCAGATCCCACTTTACCATTCCCGGCTACGAAATAATCAACGCATTGCACCCTGGCGACCGGATACGTGGAGGAGCCTCTATTATCATCAGACGCGGCATTCAATACGAGGAGCTCGAGCCCGTACAACTGGAATGGATGCAGTGTGCGAAAATCCACCTCATAACGTCGCTAGGCAAAATTACCATCGCCTCCGCATACCTCCCTCCAAGATACACATTGAGCCAAACTGATCTGTCTGACGTACTATTGAATCTGGGTCCTAGATTCTTAATCGGAGGCGACTTCAACGCAAAACATACTTGGTGGGGATCACGGACCGTCAACCCGAAAGGAAGCACACTTCTCAGATGCATCAGGGCACTGGGTTGCACCGTCTACTCAACTGGAGAGCCTACCTACTGGCCCACCGACCCAGCCAAGATTCCGGACCTCTTGGACTTTGCATTTAGCAGAGGAATTGACCCCACAAAAGTATCTACGGCTGCATGCCATGATCTTGCATCGGATCACAGCATGGTCAAGATTTTATATAGCAACTCCTATCTGAGAAATCCAACGGCAGTCAAGCTCATCAGACGGAATTTAAACATCCCGATTTTTAAATCTTGGCTAGAAAATCATGTAGACCCCCAGCCAGTACTAGAAAGTCCGATAGACATCGACGAAGCGGTGGAGTACCTCACCAGACAGGTCCACCTGGCAGCAAGCATCGCCACCCCAGAAGTTGAAACTACACGAACGGTGCACACCAGAGGCCAAAGAGACAACTATCTCTGGTCAACCGAGCTGGCAACAAAGGTAAGCGAAAAACGGCGTTTGAGGAGGGTCTGGCAGTTAAGTAGAAGACGGTCGGACAAAACCATCTACAACAGGGCTTGTAAAGACCTTAACAGGATGCTCCTAGACCTAAAAAGCAAGTCTCTAGAAGCCTACCTCGCGGACCTTGAACCCTGTAGTGCAGACCACAAGCTTTGGAACGCAACTAAGTATTTGAAGCGACCCACACGGAGGATAGCTCCTATAAAATCATCGACTGGAGCCTGGTGTCGCTCAAACCAGGAAAAAGCAAACGCCTTTGCCGACCACTTAAGGAGTAGTTTCCAGCCATTCGACCTGTGCGACCCAGTGGACCATCAAGAGACTCTTCATTTCCTGGATGTGGCCTGTCCCATGGACTTGCCCATTCCAGAAATCGACTGTGAGGAAATAAAGGAGGAGTTAACATCACTCAAACCAACAAAGTCTCCTGGATATGATCGTCTAGACGCCACTGCTCTGAAGCTTATGCCGCCGAACTGCATTGAAAACTTGAAGTTCATCATGAACCAAAGTCTAAGACTCGGCCATTTCCCAACACAATGGAAATGTGCAGAGATCATTGTCATCGCCAAACCAGGTAAGCCTGAGGCCGAACTGGGATCTTACAGGCCCATCAGTCTGCTGTCAATCCTCTCCAAAATCTTGGAAAAATTATTCCTGAGGAGATTGATGCCTGTGCTAGAGGAAAAACATATCATCCCAGATCACCAATTTGGCTTCAGGCGAGCTCACGGGACCATTCAACAGTGCCACAGAGTAGTCAGCTGCATTTTAGACTCCTTCGAGACTAAAAGGTTCTGCTCTGCAGCATTCCTAGACGTCAGGCAAGCGTTCGACAGAGTCTGGCACCAGGGCCTATTGTATAAATTAAAGCACAGCCTGCCTACTCCTTATTACCTACTTTTGAAGGACTATCTTGAAAATAGAAGGTTTTATGTAAGATGTAACCACTAGGAGTCGCCCATCCACGAAGTGGCCGCCGGAGTCCCCCAAGGCAGTGTACTCAGCCCAATATTGTACTCAGTATACACCGCGGATATGCCCATTCCCACGGGTAGTCTCAACATGACCTGTACATATGCGGACGACACGGCGTTTTTAGTC